GAAAAATCTCAACAAGCAAAGGCTTAATCCCCAAACTCCTACGCTACACAAGCATGGAGGATGAAACAAGCTCCGCACAATCTCTCATGACCACTGAGTTTCACGATGGGACTTGATTGTGCAAGGCTGAGGAGCTGGCCAACTGAAGGACAGCTTTTAAAAAGACTTTGGTATGCCCAGAACGAAACTGGAGGTCTTTCTATCCGGGCAGCAGGGAACAGCATCACTAACACCTCCAGAAGAATGCGAGCATCTGCAGGCAGTCGCCGCACGGCTTCATGTGTCAGCAATTGCTACAGAGGAAACACAGACCCAGACCCAGGCTCTTTGCATTCTTGCCAGGAAATGATTTTCTACTACTTTGTTTTAACACCTTCACCCCTGAATTCTTTGTAACCACAGTGAAACTCAGGGGCTAAAATATACCTATTCGTGCCTTTGTAAATCTACACGTGTTTATAATTTGGGATTGCTATGTGGAAACACACTTTTCTATTTATCTTCAAGTCAAGCGGCTGGGCCATCTGAATGGATTGGCTTCTCAACACCAGACCATTAAGACGCACACGCTTGGGTTCCAGGCATGGAAACCCCACTGGCCGCCCTCCTCAGATCTCTTTGCCATGCTACTGTAGACTTCTCAGTCAATAGATGGTACATGGTCTGTCAACTCGCTGAGAATGCTGAGACCTTGAGAAACCAACCTCAAGGTCTTTGATGGAATCTCTACCATTCCTTTTTTTCTTTTTTGTTTGTTTGTTTTGTTTTTGTTTTTTGAAAGACGGTCTCGCTATGTAGTTCAGACTGGCCTTAAACTCGCTATATAGCCCAAGCTGGCCTCAAACTCCCAGCGATTCTCTAGCCTCAGCCTCCCTCATCTCATCCCAGTGCTGTGATTACAGGCCTTCACCACCATGTGCAGATTCTGTCTTGTCTTTCTCGATTGTAACGAATATCAGGACAAAGTAAATATCATGTGAAAAATACATCCACATAAAAGGCTGCATCTCTATCAGACCAAGATGGTCTTTACCATCTTCAAACCTAGTATTTACTTGAAGTTCCTAGTCTCTCCCTAGAAAAAGATAAATTAATTTCTCTTAATCTCAAACTTTTCATATTACAGCTCTTCAAACCTCCCCCTAAAGGTTCCAAGAACAGTACCAAAGCACATGTGTACCCTTCATTTAACATTTTACCAAACTTCCTGTCTTCCATCCCTTTTTATTCCTCTCTCCTTCTTCCATCTCTTTCTCTAGGTGGATATAATAAGGTTTAAGATTATAGACATTCTTTTCTGAAATTTTAAAATTAGTTGTATATATCATTAAATATTTCAACATGGATAATTCCTAGAATCAAAAATATTCCCCTGTGACTAACAGACACAGGGAGTTCAAATATTGTGCCCATTCATCATGCCTGAATTAAGAACTTCCTAGCAGATTATTAAAGCATTACTGAGGGTATGTCTGTGGGGTCATGAATGTGATGCTGGGACTATATGTGATCCTTTGTCCCATCCTTTCTGTCCTGTTCCCCTATTCTGTTTTCTGTATGAGTAAATTTTCTGTATGAGTAAAAGTTTTTTCCCTGCCATGTCCTTCTGCCATGGTGCATCTCCCTTGGAATTAGCTGACCACAGACTAAAATCTTTCCTCTTTAAATTGTGGGTATTGGGAATTTTTCACAGCAACAGGAAAGCTAACTAATACAAGAACCAAGAGATACTCCTGTCTAATACTTAATGGTACTCCAAATTTCTTCAGCTGCCCTAATAACCATCATTGCATTTCTCTCAATCAAGGACCACTGAGTGCCTCCCTAGTCACCCTTCATCTACAACAGTTCTCCAGCCTCTCGGGGATGGAGGAGTTTCTTTTAATAACTTTGACAGAGGAGGCCAGCTGTTGTTACATGATGTTCCTGAATTGGGACTTCACTGATTTGTATCTTCAGAACTGTGGTTTCTTGGTGTATTTGTAGAAATCTCAGATCAGTTTAATCATGGCCAATTAACTCCTTAAAGCCACAGTGTCTCAACATGAATTCTGAACCATTTACAGCCTTCTAATTCCCAACTGTTGACAAAAGTTGTTCAAAATCTTACTCCCTAAAGAAAGTTTTCAACCTTCTTGTGTGTTAACTCATTTTCTCCCATATCAAGGGGTTCTATTTATATTCTGGAATAAAAGATCATACACTAAAGGTTTCACACAGTTGGTTGTGTGATGGATCTTGTTAAATAAATAGAATTGTGTCAAGAAGAGCAGGAGGAGAATATTAGGTACACAAGAAGAAACATGAGAGAAAGCATCATACAGGGGAATGAACAGTGTTTGAAGAGAAATGAGTCAATATATTAGCCCTAGCACAAGGCAAGGACAGCCTGTGCTATGGTGATGGCCATGGAGACAGAGAGTCTAGAGGGACTGGAGTAAGTTGCCAACTCTCTGATAGCATGTCTGAGATGCCAGTACTGACATCAGACAATAGGTCGATGGGAGTGGCCATCTGAGTCTGACTTGAATTTGCTGAGTTTAAGGGGCCTGAAAGACGTGGGGAGAGCTGTCTAGTAGACAGATCTTCAGGTCCAGAGTTGAGGGGACAGCACTGGGTGAGGAATGCTGCTTTTGCTCCATGTTACAGAGAGCTATGGTCAGCAAGGCAAACAAAAAATGGGCACAAATGGTCACCCCTCAGCCTGTGGGTTTGAAGAGAGAACCCTGAACGTTATGGAGCGGGACTGGCAGTTCTGTTTCCTGCTGGGGCTCCAGCTAGTGCGCTCATTTCTGGAAATGTTGATCTGAAGGTAAGTGAAGGGCAAATTTGTAGATTCAGGATCCTTCAAGAATGGGAGTGGTAATCGACTATAGTTAGGAAAGCACCATCTAATACTAACATGCTAGCATTTATCACTAAAATGTTAAATATGGGCTAAAGCTAATAAATCAGTGAAGAAGATGGAATTGACATAAGATGAAGGTAACTGGATAAGTGTTGGCTAGAAGAGGATAAGGAAAACGAAAAACAATGGAAAGGACAAGGGAAATCCAAGTGAAAAAGAAGAGCAGAATAAAGGCCAAGCATGTGAGAGGGAGGAGTCACTAAGGTCCCCTTACTGGCTCGCTTGCTTGCATACACTGTCTGTCTCCTCCCCAGTAAGACAACACATTGACAGTTACTTAAGGTATTTAATATTCTATAAGAAAGTATGTAACTGTAAGTGCGTGTGTCCCCAAACCACAATTTTACTAAGATTATTTCTGATTCACATTTTAATCTCCAGTGCTGAAACCCCTTTCCCCTTCCTACTAGAAGGAGAGCTCCTTGCTTTTGTTCCCCAAGGTTCCCTTGGGCCTTCCTTGATTGTCTGCTCTGAGTTCTGCTCTTGTAGCGTGAAATTCCAAGTCCCAGAGTAAGGAGACACCACAGAGGAGGGGCCAAACAGATATTCACCAAGGCCATGGTTTTAACACTCGGAAGCAATGGATTTAATAAAAATTCTAAAATAATGTATGCACATACTAATATCTATCTATCATCTATCTATCTAGTATGGCTGAAATATAATATAATGCCCCTAGATTATTATACAAAATTATTCTAATCCACGGTTCTTAAAGTTATCTTCTCCCTACCCATCTATTTGTTAACTTAATTTGTCTATATGATTCTGACAAACAAAATTAGAAAGATTTATAACAACTGATTACTAACTCACTACCAGCCAATATTGGAAATCAAATACATGCACAGAAATAGCAATTTATGAAATAAAAAAAGCACCCAGTTCATTCAACTTGCTTACACTATGTACCCCACTCCTGGACCCCCATAGTTTTCAAACATAATTGGATTTTGTCACATCTAATCTTAGTTACTTCTTGTAGTATGGCTGAGAAACTTTAGAACAATCACTAAGATCTATGTAGGATCCTGCCGAAATTCTTGACATTTTTCTCATTGTTTTCTGCAAAAATACTTGCACAGAAGGTATTCATAATAGAAACAATAGTGAGTCACTGCCAACCCACATACACTCTTAGCTCAGTATGCACACACGTGTGTGCACATGTGTGATGAGATTTTCCAGAATTAAGGGTGGTTTATCTACCTGATCTCCTACCTTTTCTTTTTTCTTTTTGTGCAATGTTGGGGATTGAATACAGAACCTCATGCATGCCAGGCAAGTGTTCCACCACTGAGTGACAGCCTTTTAGAAAAATGTTTGTTTTGGGGACAAAGCCTAAGTTGACTGAGGCTGGCCTTAAACTTCTGCTTCAGTCTTCCAAGTAGCTAGGATTACACTTGTGTGCCACCATGCCTGGATTTTTTCCTTTTCAACACACAGGACATCAAGTAAATATTAAAGTGAGTTGTCAGAAATTATGAAACATATCAACAGATGAAAAAAAATCTTGTTTTAATGATGTTCTGTAGTGTTCAGAGGAACAGTTCAGAAGGGCGAAAGTTGTGTGTAACAGCCCTCTCAGTGACATTGAACCATGGCAGTGCCTGTTATATCTTTGGAATAGTTGGCTTAAAAATAGTTAGAATAGTGGTATTTAAACTCAAGTAGATTGAAAGTGTAATTGATTAGGAAAGTACTGCTTTCTCTTGAAATCCTCCTCTCTCCTCCTCCCTTACCCTCCAATGCTAGGGAATGCAATGAGGCAATGGAATGATAAAATGTAATTAAAATCACATTCCTCTCCTGGGATCAACCCAATTATCAGCCTCTCACCCCAAGATAAATTTACCTCTTGAAGGCTGAAGGACTTTATCACTCATGGAAAAATACAAACAAAGATTAAGATGCCATTTAGACATCATTGGAATTTTTCATTTTTAAGTGACCTCTTCATTTAATGGATTCAATGCATTCTCATTCAAGTAGAGTATAAATTGCAAGACAGACTGTAATAAATGGTACTGTCATGACCCTTAGGGTAGAGCAAAGGAATATTGGAAAATAAATCTCAATTCTGGATACTCACCAGTCCTGCAATGGGGGTAGGCAATCTATTGATCTTTTTTACAAGTCCTGGCTTTATAGCATTCAGCAACCTGTCATGAAAAAGGCAGAATGTCAAGAGAGACATAAAGCAGGATGGATCACACAAATCACCTTTATCCGGAGCTACAACTAAATTGCTGAATAGGAAAAGCAGTGAATTTAAAGCATGTAGTAAATCTCAATCATCTATCGGCCTCCATGCATAAAACTGAAAAGCTCTGCCAACATCAAGTTGGACCGTGGCAGGTAGAGTTTTAGAATTTGGAAACGTCAATAGGGGAGAAAGGGAAGAGAACAGGAAGTGCTTCAAGGGAACAGACAAAGATATGAGCTGGACTGAGGTTGAATGGTAACTGTCCAGAATAGCAGGCAGGTATACAAGGCGTGTAAGGCTTGTTGTCAATTCTTTTGGCTAAAACAAGGATCTTTCCAGAGATTAAGTTCAGAAAGCAACATCCATCTTTGCAAGTGAATTACCAAAATAGATCCTGTCTCCAGACCCCCATTTGCTCTTTGAGGAGAGTAGCTTGTTAAATGCAGTTGAGCTTCACCAAAAAAGGAAGACTCTATTTAGTAAGAGGTTAACTTGTCATATCCTAAAGATTTTAAGCAGGCTGACCACAATTCCCTAGGTCCAAAAAATACTTGAGCAAAAGATTTGCAGAATAAGGTTGAAATCACATAAAAATGGTAACACAAACAAGGGAATGCAAGAGAAACAACTACAACTGCTTGTCTCCGGGAAATATAAATTCAGAGTGAAGAAAAATAAAGGCAAGTTGTAAAATTTATAAGGTTAGCATCTGGGTAACATAGTAGACTGCAGTATTTGTAAAATAGGTTATTCATGAAGGAATAATTAAAAGTAAGAGATTGTACATTCATGAATAATCAGTGAGTTAAGGAAATTAAAAAAGAAGTAAGACAGTTCCTAAAATTAAATGATGTCAGTGCAACATGCCAGAACTTATGATACACAATAAAAACAATCCTAAGAGTGAAGTTTGTAACTATGAATGCCCACATCAGAAAAAAGAGGGCAAGCCCAAATAAATAGCCTAATGATACACCTTGAGATTCTAGAGAAAAAACAATACAAATCTAGAGGTAGTACAAGAAAGGCAATTACAAGATCAGAACAGGAATCAATGAAATGGAGACAAAAAAATAAAGAATCAATGAAACAAAGAATTGGCTCACTGAAAGAGTAAACAAAATAGACAAAACTTTACCCAGTCTAGAAACAAAAAAGGTAAAATCATAAAAGACACTGGAAAAATTCGGAATATTATTACTAACTGTTTAATAAACCTGTATACCAATAAATTTTAGAACTCAGAAGAAATGGAGATTCATAGATATATATGAAACTAGACCCAAGAAAACTTAAAAATTCTGAGTAATCCAATAACACGCAACAGAACTGGAGCAGCAATAACAAAACAAAACAAAAAAACCCTACCAACTAAGAAAAGCCCAGGACATGATGAATTCACTGCCAAATTCTACAATAATTTCAGGGAAGATTTTATGCCAATAATCCCCAAATTCTTCAGTGAAACTGAAAGAGGAATACTACCTAAGTCATTCCTAGAAGTCAGCACTATCCCAATTTCAAAGCCAGACAAGGATCAAAGCAAAAGAAAAAGCTACAGATCACTGTCTCTAATGAAGAGAGATGCAAAAATCCTCAGCAAGACACAAGGAAACAGAATGCAACAAATCATCAAAAAGATCACACACCATGACAAAGTAAGCTTCATCCCAGGGATGATTCAACATATGCAAATTAATGCATGTAATTCATCACAATAACAAAAGCAAGGACAAAACTCACATGATCATCTTAATGGATGGAGAAAAAGCCTTTGACAAAATCCATCATTCATTCATGACAATAACCCTGAAGAATATAGGTGCAGAAGAACTTTATCTCAATCTGATAAAAGCCATTTCCAAGAAAACCTATTGCCAACTTCATATTAAATGGGAAAAAAATGAGAGCTTTCCCTAAAAAATCAGAAACAAGAGAAGGATGTCCACTATCACCACTCTTGTTTAACATAGCCCTTGAAACATTAGTTAGAGCAATCAGGCAAGAGAAAGAAATAAAAAGGAAATAAAAAGAAAGAAAAGAAAGAAGTCAAAGCAGCATTATTTGCAGATCAAACGATCCTCTATTTACAAGACCGGAAAAGATTCCACTAAAGACTTCTAGAACAAATTAATCAATCTAGCAGGGTGCAAAATCAACACAAAAAACAAATAGCAGTTCTGTACATTAATAATGAATTCATTGAGAAAGAAATTAAGAAAATAATACCATTCACAGTAGCATCAAAAAATGAAATACTCAGAAATTAACTTAACCAAGGAAGTAAAAAACCTCTATAAGGAAAACTACGTCAGTCTCAAAAAAGAGATTGAAGAGGGCATCAGAAAATGGAAAGATCTTCCATGTTCCTGGATGGGTGGAGCAAACATAATCAAAATGGCCATACTTCCAGAATTGATACATAGATTTAACACAATCCCAATCAAAATACCCATAGCATTCCTTGTAGGTCTAGAGAAAGCAACCCTAGAATTCAAATGAAGCTAAAAGAGATCCAGAATAGCTAAGCAATTCTGGGTAACAATAGCAAAGTAGGAGGCATGACAATTCCAGTTTGGAAATTATATCAAAAACTTACAGTGGCAAAGGCAGAATGGTACTGTCACAAAACAGAAATACAGATCAATAGAACAGGATAGAGGAAGTAGAAACAAGATGCATCCAATATTTTACCTTCAACAAAGGGGCCAAAATACACCCTGGAGGACAAATAGCTTCTTTGATAAATGATGCTGGGAAGACTAGATATCCATACACAGAAGATTGAGTATGTATTCCACACCATATACTGAACTAAAATCAAAATGGATCAGAGATCTAAATGTTAAAGCACAAACACCTAGTCTACTGGAAGACAAAATAGGTAAAAATTTTAAAGACATAGATATAGGCAAAGACTTTCTGAACAGAACCCCAATGATATAAGAAATAATATGTAGAATCAACAAACAGGATCATATCAAATTTAAAAACTTCTTCATAGAAAAGAAAATAACCTATAGAGTGAAGAGACAATCTATAAAGTGGTAAAAACTTTTTGCTCTGTCTTTCAGACAGAGAATTAATGTCAAGAATACATAAAGAACTCCAAAAAAAATTAGATACTTCCAAAATGAATGACTAAAAATCAATGGGTATCTGAAGTAATTAGATACTTTCCTGAAGAAGTACATTGCTGACTGGCCATCAGAGAAATGCAAATTAAAACAACACTGAGATTCCATCTTACTCCAGAAAGAATGGCTATCATGAAGAAATCAAACAACAACAAATGCTAGTGAGACTGTGGGGGAAAAGGAACCTTTCCACATTGTTGGTGGGAGTGTAAATTAGTACAACCACTATGAATATCAATATGAAGATTCCTCAAAAAACTAAAAATACAAATTTTGTTTGATCCAGCTATTCCTGTTCTAGGAACAGTATCTTCCCAAAAGTGTTAATGTCATCATATTACTGTGACATATCCATACACGTATATATAGCATCAAAATTTATAATAGCTAAATCTTGGAAATAGCCTGTATGTCCACCAATAGATGAAAGAATAAAGAAAATGTCATATTTTTACACAACGGAGTACTACTCTGCCATAAAAAGGATAAACTTGAGACATTCGTAAGTAAATGGATACACCTTGAGACCATGAGGTTAAGTGAAATAAATCAGACATGTAAGTTTAAATATTGCATGGTTTCTCTTATATGAGAAACAAAAAATATAACTGAAGAACAAAATAAAGGATAGATAATAGGAAGTAGGGAAATCTTTTTCAAATTGGAAAGAGAACAAGGGACAGAAGGGAGGGGAGGAGGAGAAAAGGAAAGAAAATCGAAAAATGGAAATGGAGATTTTTCCAAATGGGAAAAGTGTTAAGAGTTGGAAAGGGAAAGAAGGATAAAAAGAATTAAGATGTGTTATGTGCGTGTACAAACTACCCACAATAAATATAGTTATTATGTACTGAAACAGGCAGTAATAAAAAATACATACATTTTTTAAAAGACAGATTTTAGGATGGAGTAGTTACGTAAAATTTCTGAATACCAGATAAAGGGAAATGATTAAAGCATCAGCAGGCTACACCCCACTGGCCAAGGTGGCCCACACCTGGTCCCCTCGCTATTTTATCAGTACCAGCCACGCACACGCATGTAAGTACCGTCTGCAGCTACTTGTGCTATAACAGCAGATTTCAGTAGTTAACACAAAGAACGCGCCCCACAAGGCACAGAATCTTTACCATCCACCCTTTATGGAGAGTTTACTGACTTGTGCTATAATTCACGCAATCCAAGATTAAGGTAAATCCTGAAGGACGTACACGACAGATTTCTACAGGTTGGTAAAAGAACTTCTTTGAAATAGTTTGACAGCACTGTATACTAACATATTGAAAAATATTGTTAAGGTGATAGACAGCGATGAGACAAATGGTGTTATATTTGCATATAACCTACACACTCCTTCTGTGTACTTTAAATAATTTCTAGATTGCCTATAGTACTTATTATATATAAATGCTATCTTACTGTATTGTTTAGAGGATAATGACAAAAAAGCCCGTTACTTGCTCAGCAGAGATGTATTTAAAAATTTTATTTTACTGTGGTTGGTTGAATCCATGAATGTAAAGGACCACTGTACATCTACAGGCTGACAATTTAACCAGAGAGTGGGCCTTATTGATATATGCTGAGCTGGGAGGACATAGAGGGTACAGGAGAGACATCGAGAGCAGAGGCCCGGAGTCTGACTGATCGAATTCAAAGCCCAGCTCTGTCATTTACCACGGTGTCACTTTGGACAAATCCATTAACCTCAGTTGTATCAACTCTAATACAGAAATGTAAGTGTACCAATTTCACAGGTGTCAGTGCAGCTTAAACAGATAAAACAGGTAAGAGGCCAGCATTGTGCTTGGTATGTAAGTTT